AATAATATGGCAATGGTTCGTAAAAATCAAGAACATTATCAAGAAGCTCTTAATTTATATAATAAAGCATTATCTATTTATGAAAAACATAATGTTGATAATAATATTAATTTAGCTTTATCTTATAATAATGTTAGTTTAGTTTATCATCATATAACTGAATATGATCTTGCATTAGAATATTGTAATCGATCATTAAAAATTTATGAAAGTATTCTTCCACTTAAACATTCACTTATTTCAATGACATTGGAGAATATTGCAAATATTTATTATGATAAAGGAGATTTTCGTCAAGCACTTAAATATTATGAGAAAGCAGCGAAGATTTATCATCATATTTTGCCTTCAACGTCTTCTGATGTTTTACAAATTCGAATGATTATTAAAAATATTCAAGCAAAAATCTAAATTGAATTTGTTCGATTCTTTTTTTTTTTAATGACTAATAATCAATTGAATTTATCTCAATAAAAATTAAGAATATTTTAAGTTAAATGTTTGATGAATAAAATCTAGAAGAAAACAAAACTCATCCGAACGATGAGAACACATCGACTCACTACAGCGTGAAAATAGATGAAATCAGATGGTTTTGTTTTATTGAAATCTTTTCCTAAAGGTGCGAGTGCTCTCTACAACAATAGCGAGATCTAGACCTTCGTAACTACATCCACAAGCAGTTGTTCATAAACACTTCTTCCATTGATAATCGAGTTTGAGTTGAATGCAATTGAATTCAAACGTGACATCTGCATACTTTCTTACAAGTGTCACTTGTCATTTCCACTGTTGCTCATCAAAAATGACATTATAAACAAAATTATGCTTCATTTATCTACTTAGGAAAAATCTTCGTCGAGTATTGATGCACGATGAAAGATTATTTGTAGGACTATATCGATGTTATAAATCTACTTTCGAGTCTATTTCATCATTGAAATCTCACAAATGTATTTTATGCTAAGTGTAACGAAGTTTTCATTGGATTCAAGTTAATAGAATATTGTCTGTAGCTTCATGAGTCCTATATTTGTATTGGTGTTCAACTAGATATTTCTATCCTGTTTTTTCATATATATCTGAAAGACGATTCATATACCAAAAGACTTTCCTGAATGTAAAGTCTAGTAGAATAGGCAAAAGTTTTTAATTTATACGATCATTTCAAGTTCAAGATGATTTATCTTTAAAAACGATATGTTAATAGTCAAAATGAAAATATCTGTCATTTTAAATAAAAATTATTCATTGACGTCTATCAACATTATGCGCTCACTTGATCAACATTAATTTTGCGTCGTCGCCATCGTTTAAGATGAATTTCGAAAAGAACATAAATTAATTGATGACGAAATCGTTCGGATACACCGAGATAAATATAGAATGGACTCTAAAAACACGTGAGAAAAAAACCATTTTCATACCGTCTGACTAGTAAAACAATACTCACTGCATAATTTAGATAATACAAATAGATAGTTATAATATTAGCAAATTGAAGTTGTGCGATAATAATTGGATCGTTCGGGAGAATGGGGCTGTAAATAATGCCAGTAACAATCGTATACGGTATTGTTACAAAGAAATTGTGAACAACTTGGACAAGAACCATGATTGTCAATTGTTTGTCCAATTCACGACGAACCAATGGTACAGTTCGATAAGCCAATTGTTGGACATTACGATATGCCAAAGAACCGAAGAGGACGGTAATAATTACTGGTACAGCACCGGCAAGAGATATTATATAAACATAAACATGATATTTCAAAAAAGCAGCATTGGTACTTGTACAAATTATTTTATTCGATATAGGTTGTTCAATTATATTAAAATAAATCATATAAGGAATTCCAAGAAGAACCCAAAAAATGATCACTGCTACAGATAGACGATGGGCAAGTTTGATGTTGCTCCATTGTTGCCAACTAGGACGAGAACAAGTAGCCAAATATTGATCAATAGTTGCCAAAGAAATCATTGTGAAAGAGATCAAGACACCACAGTAGAGTAAATACCATCTGAAGGCACAATAGAATGGCGAAGTCAATGTCCAATCGATGCCAAAACCGGTAATCAGTATGCGAGAGAGTAGACCGACGCATAAATTTACAATATTGAAAATTGACATGATAAGCATATAGAATGCACATGAACTTTCGCGAAAAGTACGAAGACTTAGAAAAACAACGATCGTCAGAAGTTCACCAGTTACACCGGCGATGAACATCACAATTCCTAAATATATAGCCAATTGCTGTGATAAGAAGCCAAGAAATGAAATAATCCATGCTACCATCTTTGTTTTAAATCTGTACACTAATCTGTCACAATTGTTATTTTATTTTATCGAGAGAGTAACAGCATGAAACGAGAAAAATAAAGAAATGACGACTCTCCATTTCTTTTTTTAGAGTTATCGGATGTGCGTGATGTGAACGTCAGAAAAAAATGACAAAAAAATATGGTTTAATTGATAATTAGTAAACAACATAATGATGCAAAGAAATGACGGATGTTTAAAGTTAGAAAGTTATCCTCATTATTTTTGATAAAATAAACGAACAACTACTTGTGCACTTTACTTTGACGATAGGGTGGTCGTTTTTATTTACAATGATGGCAAAAATTATTCATAATTCAACAATAAAAAAACAGATATTTTGAGAAATAGAAGACACCAAAAGAACCACTATGACTTCTACCTAGACAGACAAAAATGAGGCAAAAACTGATCATTTTTCTGTCGCCATCAGAAACTGCGATTGTGGAAAAAACCTAACTTTTTCTGCTCTTTGTGCATTTAGACAGGTGTTCGGCAATCCGCAGCTGCTTGGGTAATAATCCATGAATATTCACGGAAGAATTAGTGATGAATTGTTGCATTCCTAGTGTCTTGTGATGTGTTTGAATTTTCTGATGATATTTTATTGATGTATTATTGTCTTCCAGCCAGTCACATATTGCGGAAAACCAGTTTAATGCTTTTTTGTCTGCCTCAATAGTATCTACGCTCTAAATATCAAAATTGTTTGACTTATACACATTGAAGATATTACCACATTACTACATATTGAGAAAATTGATTATCATAAATTCTTCGTACAATCGATCATATAGATTTTCTACGCTGTTGACATGTCTAAGAAACTCAATAACAATGTCGTTAACGAGCACTATTATTCACGCTTGAGCTGCAAAGAATGTTGTTGATGCGAGGATTCATAATTAATTCAAATGAGAATGACGTTGTTGTAATTCTCTTGGGTGAAGGGAGGATCATATGAAATAGAAAGAGTTTGCTGGTTTGTGCGTTTTTTTGCACTCCTATGTACCGTCGCATATCCGCATATATACACATAATTTGTAACGTTTGACTAAAAATAATCGGAGTCGAAGAATCCAAATTCGTAATCGTTTTCTCATTGGTCATACGGAAAAAATCCAATAAGTTTGTATGTATGTAAGCATGTTTGTTTGCCGTCAGATATACAATCACATGCCTCCATATATTTCTCAAACATTGGATAAACTCTGTAAGATGACTGTGTTTTGAGGTGTACTGTCCGTCAATCTGATTATTCCTTATTTTTACTCTCGTCCAATCAGGTATTCGGCTGTTCGAATTCCAGTCAAACAGAGATTTCTACTATCAGGGTGTTGCGCAGACACACTTTCAACTCATAGGTTCTCCGTTTATCAGATGTTGGAGATATTCAGCTGTTGACTAATCCTTGTTTTCTGACCGAAATTACAGTCTATAAGCTGCTTTACGTATGTGAGATTCATCGTATCAGTTTTTTCAGGCAAGTTTTTCAGCTAGTCACATATTTTTTCAAGTATAATCTTGATCCAATCAAAGTTTTTATGTTTTGAAGTGAGCTAGGCGAGTAAGCTCACTTTGCATGTCTCGTCAGTTTTCGTTTTATCTTTGTTGGGCTCGAACAATTAGTTGCTTGTCCACACTGATATTTAATATGCGTCATTTTTTCATGACTGACACACAAAAGTTGATTATTGCGAAAATTGGATGGAGGATAATTTGCATGTACAAATAATATCAACCTACTTGTACGATTAATATAAACACGGACGTTAGACAAAAAGAAGACGTAACAGTCGTTTGAATTTTCTTTCCTTTCTTAAGATATAACGGTGACGATAATTGTACGTACGGTTTCCAGTACAAACAGGTTTTCATAAAGGAAATTGGGATCGGGTAAACAGAATCTGAAATCAGATTCTTGAAAATTTTAAGTTCAATAATTTCACCAAAAAAGTTTGTTTTTCATACAAAATTTTTTTTCTACGAAAAATTTGAGCACCGAATTTTGAGAAAATGGTTGCGGACTCGAATTCCACGACTCCGATTTACTTGCGTCAACCTTTATAAAAAAATTGTTATTTTCTCAAAAAACTCTTTCGTTCATGAAAACCAGTGAATGATCGTCACCATTCCATTCCTAACAATAGTATAGCAAACAACGCTTTGCTTCGTATGAAAATCGCAATATTTACAAGAGTAACACATTGCTATCAAGAATAGTGAATTGTGTAAAAGTCTATTTTGATGTGGGTGCTAATGAAGGGAATAAATACAGGAATTACACTCACACTCTCAGCAAAACTCAATTCCATACTCAATGTTGACATTCGATATTTCAAAAGCTTCTCATATTATATAAATTTTTTTTTAAACATGCTGTTATTGCATAAATGTCAACAAGTATTTACTAACATTTTGGATGTTTTGTTTTTGGTCAGATAAGTAATAAATATCTTCAACGAAAATGGTATGCACGTTAAGAAAAGATAACATCTGCACCCACACATGCCCTTGAAGATGAAATAGATACATCGAGAAAAAAAAAATTTTGTTGTGATTTTCATACTTCTCAAAGATTTAATCGTGCTTGAGTAATATTTTAGATTTATCAATATTCTAAAACTTTTGACCTACATAAGAAATTCCTAAGAAGAACTTGATGAAAATCTATTCATCCATCAAATTTTGGATCATCGATCAACATCATACGAATTCGAGATTTCTGATGAGGTGCATGATAAATAGTTTGATTCGCTATGATAGGTGATTGTATGTCAGAAGCGATCGATGCACCAGTATTTGGATTTACACTGATCCAAGGAAAAAAACTACTCATAACTGCTAATCGAATACGATGTTGTGGAAGAAATGTATGTCCGATAGCGTGTAAATCAATACGAACGAGATAAGTCCGATTGGACGACATAAATATTTCTTGATCAAAACCATTTCGATAGCGTGTACGAAGTTGACCTGCAGCTTTAGAACCGAGTTTAATCGAGCGTCCATTAGTCATCACATCCATTAGTTCGATCACAAAATCGGTATCACGTGCTGTGCTCGAGATTATCAATTCAACGACAATATCACCAATCACCGTAATTGACTTATTTAATGGCTCAGTAGTGTACACAAGAATATCATTACGATCAAGATAGGAATTAATATCGATGGGAAGAATAATAGATTTATTATTTATGTTACTTATTACTGGTTTGGTTGGATCATAAAGATAGGAATCTGTTGCAGCAATATTTGGTGCGTCCCATTGTAGTCGACCATCTCCTTTTATGCTATTGGCATGCCCTTCACTTGTCAAGAACAATGATCGCTCATGAGCTTCTGATGGTGGAAAAATACTGCGAGTCATCCATTGATTACTTCCAGTT